TATCATAAACTCTCTATAATGTGTTCAAAAACCGCAAATTACGACCAGCATAAAGGTAAACTGTTTTGTTAGAACAAATTTCTTATCTGTGAAAATGTTATTATTGCTACTTATTTAACATCGAATTCGATGTATTATTATATTCAAATTTCGAACATCTCTGAAAAACAAAACAAATTGATTGGACTCCATTCTAATATCAGTCGAGATGAAGTTTTATTCGAAATGAAATGTCAATAGCTAACAATTTTGACAATTTCACACGTTATTTGATATCGAACGATATGATAGTTGGGGGCCGACTCTAGTTGTCTATAAATTAAAAATAGAAACTACGGTTGTATGACATGCGTGAGAAAAGTTTTTATTTGCGGCCATTTCGCCAGTCGTAACATGCGGTTCCTGAACACATAACAGAGAGCTTATAATATGTGTGTAAATAAAGCAGTGTATGTACATAATTAGGCATTAAAACGCTTGTGTGTAACAGTCGCATAGACTACTATTATAAATCCTTCATAACGATATTGCATAGTAAGAAATGTTAATTTACCTATTTTTGCCACCAAGCAGTAATGTAAGGGCGTTGAAGGAATTACAGATCTTTGCGATTTAAAGGTCTAAGTGGCACTACAACTGTTATGGACAGGACTGTCGCATACCAGGCGCATGACTTGTTCGTCCCGCCATTTGCTAACATAAAAAAAATAAAAAAAACTGAAGAAATTAAGAGGAATACTAACAGTAAAAATTAATGATTGTAGCTGAAAACCGCATTTATTGCTTAATAAATTGCAGTTAACACAATTTTCAGGATTTTAATTTGTTCATTACTCAAAATCGAATATTTTGCATTGTGTCTCTATCAATCTCAGTGGGCGATATAATAAACATTTTCACGTGAAATTCAAAGTACCGATTTATGCTTTAAATTTATACGACATCGAGTTACGGAAAACAACTCGTTATGCCATATGATTTTATCGTGTTCTTTTTTCGTCCAATATATTTTTTAATCTGTTTAACAACAACAGATAACTTGATCGAATGTGTCAAAAATGGTTACAATAAAAGTTTTTAGTATTATTCGTGTAATTCATATTTCTGCCTTTAACCAAAATATTTGCTGTTTAATCATTTTTAAACCTGCTAACAAACATGGGTTCCAAATCTGCTAATTTGAAAGCACTCATTTCTGTGTCGATAGAGTGTAAATGGCGGGATTTTGTACGTTGGTATTCTGCTAAAAGTTAAGAGCGGCTGGTCAATGCCTAGCCATCGTGCATTGAATGCCATTGCATTTCTTGGAATTCCGATTTTCAATGGCGAGCCTAAGGACTCTAAAATTGAACTTCGACACACGTTATCCGACAATATGCCCGACAAAACTCTGTCATTATGGTTTGGCATTGCCATTGCCATTACCATTGCATCACTGCCATTCCACTGACACTACATTGAGACCCAACTACCATTGCATAATTGCAATACAATCTTAGCGGAGTCTCAATGGAATTACAAAGACGAGCGGTTTCAAAAAAATAGCAGAATTGGGGCCCTTCAATTCTAATGAACTTATAGATATTCCGATTGCATGGGTTTGTACGTAGTTACAAAACTAAGTATATGTAATTTGTTGGACTTGGTGATGGTTGCGAACACAATAAAGATACGGAATTCGTCTTCTGAAGATTATACTGTTTCATTGACTCTTAATCAAACAGATGGAATCGCGGAGTCAATATTAAAGGTAATTTTAAATTAGACTTACTGCCTGTGGCATAAATATTATAATTGTATGATTGCGTCTATTAATTGGTCTCGCATAAAGCCAAGCTTACCTTTTGATTTCAAACTCTGATGATTTCGAATTTCAGAACGAAATGTCAAATTTCCAAAGTTAATATTCGTATTAGACTCTCCGACTTTTAGAGATTGGGTTTAAAAACTGCAACTTTACTTCAGACTGGTTTTCCAGGCAGATGCCCAAGGAGCTGTTGAAACGATGAGCTTTTCCAGTGGTACGCCGTTATGCAGTCTTTTTATCCGTCTGTCTCCAACGGACCCTTGCGATCTTCACCACGTGACGATGCTGCATCTTCCGGCTCGTGATTGTAACTTATAAGAATCTTTCTTCCCTAAATTGGAGCTCATTCTACTTTACAAAGATCTGTATCCAGCGATAAACTAGCAAGATAGTTAATAACGTCGATCTGTGTTTCTACATAAGTTCACATTCAGATTTATTGACTAAATTTACTTTAATAAATGCTTAGTCCTAGTATACCGTATTAATTTTTCTTTTATTTTTAATCTGACAACTATTCAAACTACGATTAAATTTAAATTTAAACCCGTTTTTTTCTTCCTCGCTCATATTAAACAATTCTTTCTCAGCGCTCTCCCTATAGTCTGTATACGTATCACTGTGTCGTTCGTCTACGTTCTTGTGATTAAGTTCACATATCGCCCCACTAGGCCCTTCACCCTTAAAACAATCATAATAAGGTTTACAATGTATACTATTAGTACTTCTTGCTATATAAGTTTCGATACCATCATTACGTTTCCTCATATCTGAGTTGTAGCAGACGTAGAAGTTATCCTTGCCTAATTGTCAATCCTTACCCATATCGGTTGTTAGAGTAAATCTAGTTGCTGATTCACTTATGGAGTCGTCTCTGATTTTTGGCCGTCGGTTACCATTTATCTGTTCAATGAACGACGTGTTTGTTGTTCTTACATACTCCCTGTTGATACTATTATGATTTGATGGCGAGAGATGAGTTAGCCTGTAACTGACGCACGAGTCGTGTCTCTTAACGATGGTCCTTGTGGTACCGGCTCTGGAGCTTCCGATTGGTGCGAAGGAGGTACCGTTTTGGTTTGGCGATGGGGATCCGTGACAGCAGCAGAAGCACTTGAAATAGGATCTGTGGAATTCGCGACGGAATTTGCCTGTAACAAGGGAGAATTCAATTTAGTTTAATAAGTAATGTGATGTCATCGACGCGATGGTAGTTAGGAATCAACGAGAAATCTCGAGTTCTAACTAATATTTCTCGAGTTGGACTATTGGACGTACCATCAGTTTTGAGGGTTCTAAATAGATCAGATTTGAATTTCATGTTGAAACTACGGGTACAGTGCTCCTATTTTCTCAATGTCCCTCGGCAAACTTCGTGTTCCGGCTGTCGTCGGGTTTTATTCAATTGTCCTTTGCCTTTGGTATAGACTAGACGCTATCAGTCGATTTGGAAGTATATACAGTTGCTATTACATTTTTTATTTATTATACAATGGGAGTAAACAAGCACGACAAATAATTTACAGCGTGTACTTGTATTTTTTACAGGAAGCTGATACCTGTTCGAGAAGCGCAGAAAGTGATTATATCATCGATGGCGAACATACTAACATAATAGCTATGTCAGATGAAGACATGCGTTCAGGTACGGACTAAATTGAAATGATTAATAACCGGAAAAACATCCATTTTTAGTTATATATAAGAAGCACACTTTATTTCCTTTATACTTTGTTAATTTGCTTATTGACATGGAGTAAATGTTATTAAATATAGTTCACACGAAAATCAAAACAAAACAACAAGAAAGTACGTTGTTCAAAATTTAAATTATTATAGATTTTAAGCTAAGGCATGGAAATTAGTATTTGTGTGCATTCGGAAATCCGATAATTGCCGAGAGACACTGAGAAAATAGAAGCACTGTACATGGAACTTGTCAACTTTATATCTAATAGTGACGGGCGAAGTGACAATGCCGATCAGGTCTTGGCGGTTTAAAGCTCTTATTGGTACTCCAACTACACTCACAAAGTAAACGTGACCCTTACCACCAGGCATACGCCCTGTCACTTTAAGTTATTAAAAAAAGTTTCACGTCAAAATTAAACGATGATTGGTATCATAAGGGTTAAATTTTTTAACAAGTTTATAACGACAGTTAAGACGTTACTAAGGGTTTATTTATTCCAAGTTAAGCAATATACACTATCGCAGGAAAATGGTGTGAGTAAACTAAAATAGAATTACGTGCAAGAAAATAAAGTCATGCCAATTATAATTGAATGTAAAAATGATTCCACAAATAACATTTATAAACCGTCCATTGAAATCAGAACACATAGAAATAATAAAATTAACTACCAATGGTTTAACACTCGGGGTTCTACGTGAGAGGTCACCTGGCTAATTTCCGGTAGAAGCAATTACTTAAAGGAATGTTTCAAAATAAGTTCAATATACGTAGAACTCATTTAAACTCGCTCTTAAACTTGAAGTGATATCTGTTAAGAAATTTGGTCTACAAATAGCAGAAAAAATATTTTTATTTGGTATGAAGAGATTAATTTACGGTATAATCCCTCTCTTATACTATATGTAATTATGAGGCTTTCGTAATAAATGATAAACAGAGACCAAGTGAGAGAACCATTTAAGGCGTTTCATTGATAATGCAGAATTTTGGTACCAGTAAAAACAGAATACCGGTATACATAAGGAAGTTCTAACTGCCCCCGTGGCCGAACGGTTACCATGCCAGACTGCCATGCAAGAGGTCCTAGGTTCGATTCCCGGGTTGTGAGAAATATTTGTATGGCCTACATTTATTTCTCTCGTGAGTTTGGGTGTAATTTGTGGTTGTCTATGTGTATGTCCGTGGTAACCGCGACTCTGGGTTTTCCTAGTGCAGGGCTATGTTGAGTGTGAGCGTTATTATTATTATATTATTATTTTTGTTACACATCGATACCTCCAATGACCATTACGTCAACATTATTATAAAAAAAGCAAATTTATGAAAAAAAAAATAAAGGAACAAAAAACACAGAAAGACAAAATAAAAACAGAATAGGTCCCAAAATTAACTTAATGTAGCATTCATTTGCGGTGTCGACGTAGAAAAAGAAACTTTTTACGGATCTAAACGGCGTATATTTGTTTTTTCCAACGAATCAACGTTTCGGTCCCAGTACAGGTGCCATGGTCACGGTTGACTGTGATTGAAATAACATTTTTTTGAGATACCAAGTGGTGGTACGAACAAGTCGTGCACCTGGTGGAAAGCGACACGTCTGTCCATAACAGTTGCACTGCCACTCAGAGATTTAAATCGCAAAGATCTGAGAGGCACTCCCACTGCGCCCGTCATCCTGAGACTTAAGAGGACAAGACCCATTAACCTGTAATAGATACGTAGAAGTACTTCCCTGGACGAACCCTTTCACAAGGAGCTCTACTGCTTCTAACAATTAATAACGTTTGTCAGTCGTGCTATGGTACTAGTAAAGGACCTGAAACGTTGCTAATAAATATATAGTAATTTCTATCGCATGGACATGTGATTTATGTTCAATTTTGCATGCGCTGAAACGTTACGTCCTTCGTTTCCACAAAGGGAAGCTAACAAAAATTCATATTTTCAATCATGCATTTGTTTCACAGAACTATTAAGCTATTGCTACACCTAACATAATTATATACTTTTAAGGGCATAGTCATGTGACGATGGGACGTTTTCCATTGTCATCCCGCCTTTTTATCATCTTTGCTCTGGTTCCTGGTCACTTAATTCCAAATGTTTATTTACTCTTGCTCGTTTTTACCACTAATTTTGATCCGTTTACCAGTTTCCGATTTTAATGTGACCTACGTAATATCTTTAAAATCAAGTAACTTAACCGCTCACGCGATACATGCAGCCGTAGACGCATACCACACCTAGAGGTGCCGGTGATGATTTTATACCGATTTATCGGATATCGAAGTTATAACAGGTAAAAGAACTAATACTAATTGCTGTTTCGGTAACTACTCTAGCAAACCATAAAGTTTTTAATGCCTGGATCTGTCATTTAAAAAAAATAAACCACTTCAAAAATACGTCACGACAATCGTGTGTGTTATTGTTTGGGCTGGTGATTTCGGTGTTTATTTATTGAAAACATACCGTAAGTAGCGTTTTTTAAGTTTACCCTGAATATAAATGTTTATAAACTATACTTTAAGGAGTAATTTCATGGTAAACGTTAGAATCACTCAAACGGAATATTATCATATTTACTCAAGTACACCAAAAATTTCATTAGTGCTTTTTAAATGCAGGATTTGCGGTGTATTACTGCATTTTATTTGAGATGTTTTTGTTGTAGTACGGAGGGTATTTATTTAGCAATGCAGAATAATAATTTTTATTTATAAAAACTTGTATTTGAACTGAATGCTTTTCTAATTTGCGAAACCAAATAGCCGCCATTTTGCGGTAGGATGTCTATTATTTGTAAAATACGTCACATTACAATCTACAGGACATGCTTAAGCGGTGCCAGCAGTATGTGACAACCCTTTCAATGGCGCCCGAACATACTTGCGCTATGCAAACAGCTCGTTTTAGTCAGTTTCGCGGTCACGTTAAGCGTTTCATAATTTGATGTCCATTGAAATCGTATAGTAAATAATATAGACTCTAATATAGAGTATCTAACTGGGTGATGAAATATCATAGATTTCTCATAGATGGCGCTACGGCTAACAAGTCGTTGAAAAACCAAATACAAAGATACGACGCAAGCACACAGAAAAATTCGTGAGGTCCGCTGGTTCGTTCCGTGGCTTAGTTGGTATAGCGTCTGGCATGGTCTGCTAGAAGACGTCAGTTTGAATCCGGCCGGATCGAGGGAATTTTTCAGTTCGTTAGTAGTTTTTTAGTACTTGAGTCGGGGCTATCACCACACTAGGGAAACCCTGTGTCGTGGGTGCTATGTATACACATATATACAATCACAAATTACACCCAAACTCACGAGATAAATACATTATATTGTATCGATACAAAGATACAAAGCACTACAGCACGAAGAAAAGTAGTGACATTTTGATGTGACAGTTAAAGGAAACTAATAAACCACAACCCTAAATATTAACTTCACGATCGTGTCGACTGAATACCAATTAGTTTAATATTTATCGCAGGAAATAGAATCAAACTCCGTTTGTACAAAGCGCGTACGCATGACTATGCTCTGAAAAAGTGTAGTGCTCATACAATAAAATTTTGTGACTTGACATTCTAAGGTTTGTGTAGCAATACCTTCTGAAGGCCGGGGGTAGTTATACTGACCTGAAAACCCAGGGAACCCTGCAAGCAAAATAATTAAGTAACGCAATTATGTCTAACAAAATAATGTAGCTGTAAGCATAATGATGTAGTTTAAGAAGACATGTAGTGTAACTCCCGCCTGTTCAACATGTCAATGCCTAGTTGGAGCGTATTGTTATCACATTATTATTTTAGTTGTACTTAGTGGAAAAATTTCCATTTTGTAATAATCTTATTTTTCAGAAAAATAAATGGTTTTCCGGATAATTTTCCAATATTTTTCCTTTAATTACCCACTTTTGACGTTGACACCTGTCAAAAGTTGAAATTACTGGACGAGAACGATGGAGCTATTATAAAGGTTTTTTCCCTGTTGTGAACTCATATTCACTCTCGTTTTTCTTTATATGGCTTTTGACTATACAAGTTTATTTTATAACTTCGAAAGATATTTCCAAACGTTGCACAAAATATAAGCCTTCGAAATTATATATTTCGGGATTTTTTTCAGAATAAAATCCACTATTTGAAAGTTTTCGGAATATTACCCAGTAGTAGTTGTACATACAGATTGCAGGAACATTATTAGAAAAATTAAGGTATTCATATACTCGTGGTACATTGCAATAACTTTTGTCAAATGCAGTACTTACATATTGATCATGGGAGTGTGATTATGAAATTAAATGCAGTTTGTATTTACATACATAACGATGCATTTATAAATCTAAAAATGGTAAATTTGACATAGAAAAATGTTTTGAATATTTTAAACATCGAGCGAATTCTTCTGCAATGAATGGCGCGTGTGACAACCCTTGATGTGCAACTCGAGTGCTCTGCGAGATTATGGGATTGTGTGCGTTCGTACACACGTAGAATCTGCGCTGCTAGGTACTTATCGAGTTACACTAGATGCCTTATTATACTATTATAATGATAGTTTGCAAAATATTATTTGAGCTGATGAATGATATCAACTAAAATGTGTTATATCTATTGTGTGTCAACCTATTAAATGCTGATCAAATGCGTGTTGGGGCCTTGGATATATTTCCGAAGGGTTGTGAACTTTTTTTAAGATACAAGTTTCTTTACGATTTTAGCGAAAATTATTGCTAGTGAACAGTTGCAAATGTACGTTACTTAGGATTCGAAGTCATATAAAGATGACCACAGGGAGAAGAAACCATTGTCTCACTGGGTTCTCTCAGTATAACCCAAACCTTTTAGAGGACAGCTCAGGAGTAGGAATGGGCGTTACAAATCGTATATAGTTATTCAATCTATATATTGTGGTAATATCGAGTATCCGATATCGCGTATCTAAAAAACTATATCTCGATATTGCTCCGAATCACGTATTTTATAGCGACGCTATATCAAGCCGAGAGGTTACCAACACGAAATCATATATTTTCCAAACTATATACCGATATTACTTCGTATCAGATATTCACTGAGTGGATATCAACGCGAAACTATTTTTTGTGCGTCTTCGAAACTGTACACTAACATTGACCTGCATTGCTCTTGTAAAATTATATCCAATATTATACGGTCCGAAATCCGATTTCGAATATTGATATATAGTTTCGATACGGTATTCAAAAAAAGCTATATTACCCATTCCTACTCAGGTGTAAGGTGTATAATTTGTTGGTGATAACGATTTGTTTAATAACTCATTGACTTAGAATAATAACGCATAGAAACCTAGTCCGCACACGCTAAGTGAGGCAAATTGAAGCGCGCCTAATGGGCCTACACGAGTGGGCGGGCCTTCAGTGCTCAAGGTCAACTTGCACCGCGAACAGATCAAGAATTTTAGCTAAAAATGACGAAACGTGCGGTAAATGAGTGTAAAAATACGTCAGTCAAACATAAAATAGATACTAACATCACATTCCACAAGGAAGTAACGCGTTTCAACTTGTATTTTTATATAAATATTCACTAAATCCGAAAATTAACCTACTACTAAAACTAGCCTACATGAATTTGATTTTTGCCTCACTTGTGACAGTTCGTTTGATATGAAACTATCATTCTATGCGTTATTATTCTAAGCTCATTGTTGTTAGTTGTTAAATAAAATATTAGAATATGTTAGTAACACTTTTCCTCACAATAGTCTTAAGACGTGTCATCGGAAGAGAAGCGGGAAAAACTGTTTTGCTAGATCAAATGGTTTAGGGATTTACTATTAAACAACGATCTTACAAAAACTTTACGATATACTTAAGGATATTGTCTAAAGAATGTGCTAATTTGTTACACGATAGGATGTACTTTATACGATCATATAAAGTCTAGAAAAAAGGCTAAACTAACAATAAACTAAAACAAATTACCCACTTAAGAATAAAATATCTAACTTTGCACATAATTTTTACATGGAGATATGGTTTTCAACTGAAGCCCTATAAATATTAAGTTCTCATTTGTCACAAAATTTGCAAATTGCCTACAAGTTTAACGTTGATGGTTTCTGTGCGACGTTGCGTAAGCGCTGCGCTGCGCCAATGCGCAGGTTGCGCGTCAGCCGCCACAGACTACTGAACGTTATGGCTGATAGATGGGACAGTGGTCTCTTAAGGTACTGGTCCTCTCTACATTTAAATTTACGTACTAACATAATTATTTGGTTTTATAATACTAACATAGTTATATAACTTTTGCATCACTAAAATTCTATGGATCTTTGTGTTATCTGAAATAAACTCATTTTATTTTATGTATTTAACATGACGCGCCGCCCGCTGCCCCGTAAGCCACCATCGGGCGTTTGTCGACCTCGGATCTGTGTCACATTTTCTCCGCATATAGGGCTGGCAAGATAGGTTGCGACTTGCGTGAGAGCGACTAAAAGCGTGAGATACTGCTATACTTCCATAGATAATAGCAATATCTCGCGCTTCTTTGGTGCTATCACACAAGTCGCACCCTATCTTGCTAGCTCTACTGTCCTTATTTTATTTATATTAATTTACGGGACGCGAGGTAGCAATTTAGTAGCAGTAAAACTCCCTGTGAAAGAGTTCGTCCAGGGAAATACTACCACCTTATCTATTTCTGCCGTCAAGCAGTAATATCAGCATTGCTGTGTTCCGGTTTTGAAGGGCAAGGTGTTGGTGAAATTACAGACACATGGGACTTGTCAACTTATGTCTCAGGGTGACGGGCGCAGTGGCGGTGCGCCTCAGATCTTTGTGATTTAAAACTCTGAGTGGCACTGCAACTGTTATGGACAGGCGTGTCGCTTACCATCAGACGCACGACTTGTTCGTCCCGTCACTTGGTAATGCTCACATCGTAGCGTGTTACATTACGCTTAAATGATCCAGTCAGTCTCCTTTTTTTGCCTTCAGGCAACAGCCGATTATACGTTCCTAACGGCCTATTTATATGTATATTCCACAAAACCATTAAGCAGCCAGTCTAGTGAAAAGTGCGAAATTTGCAACGTTCATCTGCACTTAAGCCAGTATTACAATAAGTTTCTTTAAGATTCCTTACTAGCCGCTCACGCGATACATGCAGCCGCAGACGCATACCACACCTAGAGGTGCCGGTGATGATTTTATACCGATTTATCCGGATATCGAAGTTATAACAGGTAAAAGAACTAATATTAATTGCTATGTCGGTAACTACTCTAGCAAACCATAAAGTTTTTAATGCCTGGGTCTGTCATTTAAAAAAAAAAAACTACTTCAAAAATACGTCACGACAATCGTGTGTGTTCTTGTTTGGGCTGGTGATTTCGGTGTTTATTTATTGAAAACATACCGTAAGTAGCGATTTTTAAGTTTACCATGAATATAGATTTTAAAAACTATACTTTAAGGAGTAATTTCATGGTAAACGTTAGAACCACTCAAACGGAATATTATCATATTTATCCAAGTACACTGCATTTTATTTGAGATGTTTTTGTTGGTAGTACGGGGGGTATTTATTTAGCAATGCAGAACAATAATTTTTATTTATAAAAACTTGTATTTAAACTGAATCCTTTTCTAATTTGCGAAACCAAATAGCCGCCATTTTGCGGTAGGAGGAGCGCATCGCGTGAGCGGCTAAACGGCAATGCAACAGGATGCAACGTTCAGCCAAGGCCGTTAAATGAGCTAATTCAATGCACGTGTGGTGGGGGTATTGGCCCGAAAATTCAGAAATTGTTCTAATTAGCGAATTGTCTTTATCAATCGTCTGAAGACACTCCATAATGGATTGTCTCTATTTATACGACGCCAATTATGGCTTAGCTTAATGGAATGGCCCGTCGATTGTCCCCGTGTAAACAGTCCTTAATTTTGTAGAGAAAATGGCAGTCCATAAAATCTATGGGGTCAAAAGCATTTTAAGCTTGACATATAAGATTTAGAGAGTTAATGTAGCAGTAGAGCTTTTTCTTGAGATCTAGATTTTAGATTTTTTATTAAATTTTGTAAAGTATAAGTTAAGATAACATTTGCCCATTATGATATACGGAGTCGAAACGTGTCTTTACTATTTGCAGTCTAACTGCAGTTTGTGGTGTGTATTGCTTAGTAAGCAATTAAGTTTACATTTTGTTTTAAATTGTATTTTTTGTCACTTATATTCTGGATACCGAATAATAAACATTTTTGTAATAATAATAATAATAATAATATATTTATTTTCTCTCCACAAACATAACAACTGAACCTGAATCAAAGTAAGATAGACAAAAATTGTGTTTATTTATTATGTTAGCAAAAGACTGATACCTAAACTAAGCAGAAGCTTGTAATATAGGATACTAGCTCTCACCCCAGACAACTTTCCAACTTTCTCTTTCTCTTATTTGCTTATTGCAGAGGTTAAAATCAAGTTTATGGTTATACAATAATGAAAAAGAAAACAAAATTTCAATGTATGAACTAACTAAACTAACAACATAACAAATTTGAAAGTTTATAAACAATGTGTGTGTGTGTGTGTGTGTGTATGTGTGTGTGTGTGTGTGTGTGTGTGTGTGTGTGTGTGCGTGTGTAAGTGTGTGTGTGCGC